GTCATCACCACCCACTGCCAACTCTTGGGCTACTCTTTTACCAACGAATAGTGGGATTGACCGTCACATTATAACGCCCCCACGGCTGAAAGAGCGAGCATGTTTGGTTTGACGGGGATTGCGAGTCGAGTGCCTTAACCATCTGGCCATGCTGGGCCAACATATATGACACATATATATATATTTACTAGTACCTCTGTAGGTCGTTACTAAAACTATTTCACCAAACAAAATATCAACATAAGTATTGAAATTATAGCATAAAAATAATATGATTATTAAGATGATAGCATTGCCAAAGTAAAAAAACAAACAAACTAATTTGTTTCTTTTTGGTTAAGCACAAAGCTACACAATGGACTATCTGTGCTCTGCCCACCACGGGTATCGAAACCCGGTTTTTAGCGTTGTAAGTCCGCAGACATAACGCTGTGCCACTGGGGGGGGCAACAAACTAATATATATTTACAAAAGTTATAATATAACCAAAGGAAAAAATGTATAGTTACAGCAAAGTGAAACAAAACACAAACAAAAAAGTTATTTACACCTGCAAAAAAAACAAACAAAACACAAACAAAAAAGTTATTTACACCTGCAAAAAAAAACACAAATTATTTTTTAATTGTTGTTTCTGTAAAAATTCTCAGATGATTTTTGCATTTTTTCCCTAAATACTGACTATTTAATTTATGAGCAATCAAAACAACAGCCAAGTGGTTAGGGGGCGCTCTACTCGCAATCTGTGGGTCGCGGGTTCGAATATCCATCACACCAAACAAGCTCGCCCTTTCAGCCGTGGGGACGTTATAATGTGACGGCCAATCCCACTATTCATTGGTAAAAGAGTAGCCCAAGAGTTGGTGGTGGGTGGTGATGACTAGCTGCCTTCCCTCTAGTCTTACACTGCTAAATTAGGGATGGCTAGCGCAGATAGCCCTCGTGTAGCTTTGCGTGAAATTCAAAACCAACCACTGATTAACCTATAATTACCTGATTTTCGCAAAAACAAAAGATTCACGGATACGTATTACGTGGAAGGATTATTAGGTGTAATAAAATATATCAAAAATATGCGAAGTTGAATAAAATTCAACAATTTATTAACTAAATACATGCGCGAGGCTCATTGTTTGTTTGTAGTTAAGCAGGATATCTGTGCTCTGCCCACCACGGGTATCGAAACCCGGTTTTTAGCGTTGTAAGTCCGCAGATATACCGCTTTGCCACTGGGAGGATGCGAGACTCATAAACTGAAAGCTGGCTGATCGTCTGAGTGGAGGAATATTGCGTCTTTAGATTGAATTAATATATATATAAAAACAAACAAACTGCATTTGAGTAAAAAAAAGAGATAAATAATAGGAAATTTAATTAAATAAACGAAATTGAAAGATGGAGCTCTACAAGAG